AAACTTTCAGAACTTTAAAATTTTCAGGTAGCAAATCAAATATTAGCATTTCTCAAATCAATAATACTTTTACATTTTTAAAGTAAATAAAAATGTAAAATAAAATATAAGGCATATTTAATTAATAGACTAACTTCAATTCTCTAGACTTCATGCAAGGCATACTCAGATCAACATTTCATTATTATAACAATTCAATAAATTTAGATTTAAGTTTTTATCATCTGATTTAGTAACTTCCAAATTCTTTTAAATTTCCAGCCAATTGGCCTGGCCCAGCCTTTGATTTTCAAAATGGTCACAATTTTCCTGCGGGGGAGGGGGAAGTCAAGTGATAAACTCTCAGCCATTCATAGTAAACTTGCTATCTCCTTTCCGGTGTTTACTTGCCTTTGGGCAGGAATCTCAAGTGCTGATTTAAATGCCTTGGGAAACTATCCTGTATTCATCTCCATCACCTATAAGGTTAAAAACAGTCTCTCTGTTTTGTTTTTTTTTAAATATATTTATTGATTTTTTACAGAGAGGAAGGGAGAGAGATAGAGAGCTAGAAACGTCGATGAGAAACATCGACCAGCTGCCTCTTGCACACCCCCTACTGGGGATGTGCCCACAACCAACGTACATGCCCTTGACCAGAATCGAACCTGGGACCTTTCAGTCCGCAGACTGACGCTCTACCGCTGAGCCAAACCGGTTTCGGCATCTCTCTGGTTTTTATTCTGTACCCAGCAAAGAGTAGAGTACAGCTCAAAAACTATGTGCACTCTTTTTAAACTGGCTTTTCCCCTTTACATGTGCACAGAAATCCCTGATCATTTATGAATTCGTAAAAGCTTTAAGTCATTAGCTGGAAAAAAAAGATGGCGAATATGAGGCCTCTTAAAGTCGCTATTTTGGGGAGTGGCGTCGTTTATCTATTGTTTTATTTTATTACTTCTTCAATGTTTATTTATTTTTATTTTTAAGGAAAGAAAAAGATTTTAAGATAAAGAATTAATGGAAGTTGCTAAGAAATTCCTTTAATCTCTTTTACTTGGTTATAAGTAGTTTACACTTGGAGGCAGTGGAGGTGCAGATGGTATTCTTAAAGATTTGCACCCTTCCACTCCAGGCTGTAAGGTCGTGGCTGCACCTCATTTAAACATTCTTGAACTCTCCGGTGCTGAATAAAAAAATAAAGTAGGAATAGGAATTTTTTCTGGACTTTCTGCTGAGTATTGGTCATGCAACTGCTTTCTAACCATTTCACAGGTTTCATCAACAAACTTTAAGAAAGAAATCAAGAATCTGACTACGCTTAACAGAATCTCTTTGAGCCATGAGAGTAGTTTAAAGCATTTATAAGGATTACCCATGTTTTACTCCCAGCTAATTCAATTTCACAACAATACACTCCCTCTACCCTACAGTTCCTTAAATCTGTGGCGCATGCAATTCTTGGGAGCTATCCCTTGCCTTACCTCTTGTTGCCTCTTTTGGCCCACGCCCCACGTTGGGCACCAGAATGCAGGGGGCCTGATGGCGGGGACCTCCCTTTTCTGCGTCCCGCACAGAAAGAGAGATGAACGAACTGGTTCTAAGTGGAGGTGCCCAGGGATTGAGAAATATTAGAAATAAAGAGAGAAGGCATAGAAATAGATTTCAAGCTGGGAGCTGGGAGGGCCGCCGAACTCCTCTGCTGGAGAGACTGACTGTCGACCTCCTAAGCCACGCAGCACATCTATTTATACTCCAATCCAACAAGGGGTTTCACAGGAAAACAAGGAGCCTGGGAGAGCCCAGGTTCCACTCACTCCTTCCTTCTGGACAAACACAAGCCAGGAACTAAGAACATCTCCGCACTCCCAGAGCGGGAGTGCAACTGACATGATTCTGCCAATATCCCAGGCCCAGTCAACAACAATCTATAGAATGTCCAAGTGTCTTCCCATTTGGCCCTCTACACCTAAGTTCATACCAGCAGAATATACAATAGATAAGATCTGGAAACAACCCAAGTACCCATCAGTAGAGGAGTGGATAAGAAAGCTGTGGTACAATTATACCATGGAATACTATGAATCAATAAAAAAGAAGGATCTCCTACCCTTTGGGACAGCATAGATGGACCTGGAGAGTATTATGCTAAGTGAAATAAGCCAGTCAGAGAAAGACAAGTATTACAGGATCTCACTTATATGTGGAATCTATTGAACAAAATAAACTGATCAACAAAATATATCCAGAGACATGGAATCATGGAACACCTGAGGAAGGGGGGAGGCATAGGGCATGAAGAGATTAACCAAAGAACATATTCATAGCCCATGGACACAATAGTGCAGTGAAGGCCTGGGGAGGGGGCGGGGCAGAAGCAGGGTAGAGAGGGTCAATGGGGGATAAAGGAGGACACCTGTAGTATTTTCAACAAAAATAAATTTTTGATCATCAATAGAAATGGTTAAATTGTAGCTAGCAGGTTTTGGCGTATGATGGATATCAGCCATTCTAATGAAGACAAAATAATTTCTGATTTTCAAAAAATCTGATAAAACTATACTAATGATTCACAATCTTTCTAATGTTTACCTTCTCAAAGAACTGTTCAGGAGATAAGAGATCAACTGAAGGACTTGTATGCATGCATATAAGCATAACCAATGGACGCAAAACTCTGGGGAGGGAGGGTATGTATGGGAGTGGGGGGAATTGGTAAGATATGTACACATATAATACCTTAATAAAAAAATGGAAAAAATTAAAAAAAAAAAAAGGCAGCCAGCAGCAGGTCAGACTAAAAAACAAAACAAAACAAAACAAAAAAAGAACTGTTCAGTAGGATAAAATAAATTGAGAGTAAAGTACAATAGAATCAAAACTGAAAAATTACAAGATGATGCTATAACTTATGTTAATGCAAGCAATGCAAGAAATATATTGAGTCCTTTCCATATCAAAAAGTTTGTATTCTTAAAAGAAAATTCTGGTGCCGACATTCTAGGAACTTCTGCCTTCTTCTAACACTAAGAAATATAAAGAACTAAAGTGGCTAAACACTAGCAACTGAATTCTGTACTATTTCAAACTTCTCTCTGATATTCAAGTCAAAGCAAGTATTTGTTCCTTAAGTCTTATTACAAAAAAGCTCAGTCAATGGACTCTACTAGAAGTCAGAGCCAATGTTTAATACAATAGTCAATAAATGTCACTATCAGTGTTTCCATTAACAAAGGAACATTGAAATGATGTTCCTTGAAGGCTAATCATGAAATAATAGAAACTGAGCATTAAATTATTAAAAATTAATTTATGATCTCTTTAAGCAATTCTGAAAAGCCACACTGAATTAAAAAAAAATGCTTAAAATGCAGTTAAGGAAGATTTATTAGTTTAATCTAATAAATTTCCCAGGTTGCTTTGGACATCTACTTATCTTTTCTTAACATAAATTATAGTATAAAAAATTGGTTGACATTTGTATGTGTTTAGATCTTGTATATGTGAATAATAATCGATACTCATTGGTAACTATTTCATAAAGATAATATAGGCAATTGAAATTTTCCATAAATATTCATACACATGTAAATATGTATATAAAATACCTCTATATGTAGAACAATTCCTATTAATAAAAATTGATAAAGCCCTGAAAAAAAGATTGACTTCAAAAAACAAGTAAATTTGAATTTCCCTTAAAAATATGTGGGTATTGGCCTCTCTGTAATTTCCAACTCCTTGAACACCCATTTATGTATACACTAGTGGCCTGGTGCACAAAATTCATGCACATTAAAAGGGAATTAATTAGAGGAAATATTTTTATATTGCTATTTGCCCTTTCTATATAATAGAAATGTCAGAGATAAAAGAAAATTAGTAAAATGTATATGAAAATCTTCCTCCTGTCAGAGTCTGGGGCACACTGTGGGACCCAGAGTCAAGTCCTCACCCACTTGCACACACCTTGAAATTGTGTGAGACCCAGCCCCAGCCAGCCCCACCCCTATTGGGATAGATCCAGACCCGGCCGGCCCCACCCATCAAGCCCTGCTGGGCAGGGGAGCACATGCTGGGTTGGGGGTGCAGCCTCAGGTCCCCTGGTACACTCTCAGGTCTTCCAGCTGGAGGCAAAGGACATGGCCTGAGGTCCTCCAGCCTGGCCCCAGGGCAAGGCGTGTACCTTGAGGTCCCTCTTTAAGCCCTGCTGGGTGGGGGGTGTGGCCAGAGGTCCCTCACCAAGCCCTGCCAGGCAGAGGGTGTGGCCTGAGGACCCTGGTCAAGCCCTACTGGGCTGAGGGCAGGCCTGAGGTCCCCCATGATTCCCTGCAGGCAGGGAGCACAGCCTGAGGTCCCCTGCCAAGTCCTGCCAGGTGGGGGGGCGTGGCCTGAAATTGGGGGTGTGGCCTGAGGTCCTCCTGCCCAGGGCAAAGGGTAAAGTCTGATGTCCCCCAGCCTGGCTGGGGCACATGCCTTGAGGTCTCCCGTGAAGCCCTCCTAGGCGGGGTTGGGAGGGTGGAGGTGGTGGTGCAACCACAGGTCCCCAACCCCTGCCTGCTACCACGCAACCTCAGATCCCTGCTGATCACTTGTTATGGGAACCCCACCTCTGTTGTGGGCACAGCCATCTTGTGATTAAGTGAGGGTTAATTTGCATATTACCTCTTTATTATATAGGATAGGCCTGCAGACTACCAGGCTGAGAGTCCAGAGGAGCAGTATGTGTTCTGCCATATGACATGAATCCATGGAATATAAGAGCCAGGTGATGGGGAACTGACCTTTACCTGGTAGAGAAAGAACTATAACTCATTCCTTGGCCTCCTGGGGCCTGGGATTGTGAGAGGGATGTCTGACTGCCTGTTCAGGCGCGATCCTACTGGCAGTTGGACATCCCTCTAGGGGGCCCCAGATTGGAGACAATGCAGGCTGGGCTGAGGGACCCCCCGCCCCCCCAGGCACGAATTTCATGTACTGGGCCTCTGGTTAAATAATAATAATAATGTTCAACACCCTCAAATAATTTATTCTCTCAAACTTTATTCTGCAAGGTTTCCATTTTGTCTCTAGTCTTCTCAAAGGATATAGGAAATATTCCTTGATATATAAACTTTTAGAGCTAGAAAAGAAGCACTACAATACAGCTGAGAGAAAATATGTAAAAAAAAAAATGTGTGTATGTATTTACATACTCAAATCATTTGGTCTTTATATTTTGCTGTTACCAAAAAAAAAGTTTACATGGGAACATTGGTTTAATTTAGAAATAAGACCTTAGGTTTTTGCTGCTTAACAGGAAGCAGGCTTCAACCTACTTACAGTAAATGAATGAAATTACATCTTAAACTTCAATTTGTTGAAATGATTAGGCTGTTCACTGAAACGAAAACATGCAAGAAGCATCTGAAGTGAGGGAATGCATACAACGGACTGATTGGAATAAATCTTACTGCATTTCTCTTCTTTTCTTCTCTACCAGAGCTGTCTTTAGGCTGGAGGTCATAACCTCAACTTCAGTCCAATTTCTGAACACTGAGGTGTGGCCCTAAAAGTACTTTACAAAGTAGGTAGAATACTTCATATGTGGGCAGAGGGGCAGACTGGAAAGGCACTATAGGGTTCTAGTTTCCTTTTTCCATTTAAAAGCTTCCTTTGTAAGTTTCTGACCACTTTATTGATGACATCCTCTTGCTCTCCCAAGGGACCTACATATATCAGGAAGCAATGTTTCCTTAAAAAAGGTGAAGAAAGACATCCTTCTGGGCAATGATTTAATTTACAGTAAAATTAGTCAGGAAGCCCATACCTTTTCTAGAAGAGAAACAATCATCAGTAAGAGCAAAACAATGCTGCAATTATAGTGGATTGATTATTGCTTCTTTTATGTTTACTTTTGTCATTGACAGGCGTATGTTGACCAAACCTGGGCTACTGACCTATCAAGAAACAACAAATTCATATGTTACGGGCAGGGTAAGCTTTCTTGCATCAATTAAAATAATTGGTTTTCCTGATAATATAATAGAGTCACTCTATTATAGCATCACTAGCTGTCTGAGGGTAGTCTTTTAAAAGTATGCAAATGGATCTCCTGGCTGGTGTGGCTCAGTGTTTGAGCTTTGACCTATGAACCAAAAGGTCATAGTTTGATTTCCAGTCAGGGCACATGCCAAGGTTGCAGGCTCGATTCTCAACAGGGTGCCTGCAGGAGGCAGCTGATGGATGATTCTCATCATTGATGCTTCTATCTCTCCCTCTCTCAAATCAATAAAAAATATATTTTAAAAAAGCATGCAAATTACTTTTTCACTTAACATTTTATCTTTCCTTGAAAGCAAAATGTCTATATTAATCGGAAAAATATTTATTATTAACTTTACAATAAAACAAATTTATGGAGTTTGTGAACAGTTGCTACCCAAATATAGTAATACAAGATGGTAGAATATAATAATTTTTCTTCAACTTGTATTCAAAACAATGTGAAAGACCTTTATTTTTTATTTAAAAATATTTTATTGATTTCAGACAGGAAAGGAGAGGGAGAGAGATACTGAAACATCAATGATGAGAAAGAATCATTGATTTGCTGCCTCCTTCATGTCTCACACTGTCGATTGAGCCCGCAACCAGACCAAGAATCAAACCCGACCAGGAATTGAACTGTCACCTCCTGGCTCATAGGTTGATGCTCAACCACTGAGCTGCACAAGCTGGACTTGAAAGACCTTTAAATTTCCCATTTCTGTAGTGCTCTACTAAAGCGGTCTGCAATTCAGAGAGCAGGAGGGGTCAGGTGAAGGAGTTTGGCCAGGAGACTGGGATTTTTGGTCTGAACTGTGCTATTATGTACCTGTGACATTAGATAAATCATAGCTTTAGGGTAAAACTAAATATTTTAAAAAATGAAGGGTGTAAATATAAAGTCTTACTTCTTTGAGGAGATTTTGCTAAAAGACAAAGAAGGATCCCAGAAAGTTAGTCTTCAGAGAAGCTGAAGTAGTGCCTGGTTAAGATAAAAATGCATAAATTTTGGGGTAATCAAAATAATAAAGTATAGAGAGTATAATTAAGCATAGAAAAATCTGGAAAGAAGTAGCTAACAAGTGAATAATAGAATAGAAATATGGCAACTGAAGATATTTAAGGAAGCAACCAACAGATAGGGCTCCAGTTACAAACTAAAAAAGAGTGTTATTACTAGTAGTAAAATAGGTTCTGAATATGTTTTAGGAAAGCTAATTTGTGGGAGTGTGACTCAATTTCTGTGAGGTTGGCATATACTTAGTAAACATGTTGGTTTTTCAAAAGAAATTATAGTTTCCCAGCAATAAAACTTAAAAAATCATATATATTAGGCAAGTATCAGAAATACCAAGCAGCCCCTACTCATACTTGATGACAGCCTGGACAGTGGAAGGGTAAAGATGTCATAATTACTCCTGTAGAACCTTTCTCTTATTGTGATCAAAGCATACATCAACCAGAAAGTTCTGAACCTCTTTCAGGTTTGGGCTAGCTAAGGACAGGGTGGGGAGTATTAAGACAGAGGACTTAAAATGTGTACAATGTGAGTGCAGCACAGTGAATTACTAACAGTACCGATTCAATGCTGAGTGTAGACCAACGGCAATGTAAATTCTAAGGAAAGATAATTGAGGGGAAGGTGACACCTGGGAAAGACTTCATATAGTAGCTCTTGAAAGATTGCTCAAATTGAAGGTCAGAAAGGAGAAATGGAGAGCGCATGCTAGATGTACTAAGGTACAGAAGTAGGAATTAGCATGGTATGTGTGGATAGTTAGAAAAACCTCAACCTTTTGAGCTAAGGCTCTGAGTTGGAGGTAAGGCTGAAGTGGGTGGCTGAGGCATATCATGGGGCCTTCTACCATTAAAATGGGGTTCAGACATTAAACACTTCAACCAATTTAATTCACTTGGTATGTGAAATTGAAGATGACTCAAAGCAAAACCACAGCATTGTTTTCAAGTTTAATACCCAGCTGAAAGGATAAAAAAAATCACATAAGAACCATTAAAACTTAGTTTATCTTGTCACATTTATAGTGTAAAATATATTATTGCTTCCTGGGAGAACAGGCAGCTTGAGATCTGATGGATGAGATAGATGTTTCTACCCTGCAATGGTTTTCTACTTCCCCCCGCCCCCCCTCCCCCGAGATCTGTCAGATACAATTAGAAATTCTTTTTTTCTTGAACTAGTCTTTTAGTTAAACCAAAGAATCACATACCCTGTACTCTGGGTTGACAGAACCCGCCCTGCGGACACCCAGGAAGACCTCCCAGCTTTTCGGGTTCACCAACCCTACTCCTTGGGCCCGCCCATGGCTAGTATGGGCCAGAGGAACAGTCCCTGGCTGCCCTGGACCTGGGAACCCGAAGTCGAGTCCTCAAGGACCCGCCCTTTCCACAGTCCACCCACTTCTGAGGTCTCCTCCCCTTCCATCAGCCCACCTTCCCGACTCTCCACCCAGGAGCTTGAGGAGGACCAGGGACTAGCCTCCATGGACAATGCCACACTCCTCCATGTCATTAGTTAGGCTGCTGGCGGTCGCCTTGGTGGCGGACGCTTCAGCAGTCTTATGGCAGTTGCTGAAGTTAAGGTGACCAGACGTCCCGCTTTTGGCGGGACAGTCCCGATTTTTAACAATTTGTCCCGCGTCCCGCGGCGTTTTAAAAAAGTCAAAGATTCTTTTTTAAAATGCCGCGGGACGCGGGACAAATTGTTAAAAATCGGGACCGGCTGGTCACCTTAGCTGAAGTACAGACCCATGGCTTGCCATCAGCCTCTAGTAGGCCGGGGGCTGTGCAGCAAGCCGTAGTCTTTTTCCCTTTTCATGCACATCTTTACCATTCTATTTTTTTTTTTAATCTTTACCATTCTAGGCTTTGTTCAAGTTTGAGGCACAAGATGGTGGTCGCCACGGAAACCCGTCATTTAGGCCGCGCCCCTCACGCGGCGTGCCAAGCGTGCCCTCTGACGTCATCGATCCGCGTCTACCCAATGGGTGTCCCATCTCTAGGGAGGGGGGAGTGAGAGAAACTATCCAAGAAGCTTGAACCTTCAGCGCGTGCGCAGTACCCAAGCTCCAAGATTTAAATACCTCGGAGTTAGAAAAGTGGTCTAAAGCAGCGTTTTTCAACCGCTGTTCCGCGGCACACTAGTGTGCCGTAGGTGCAGACAAGACAAGAATTTTATAATTTTTCACTATTTTGTTTACTTAATATTTCATAATAAAGTAATTATAAAATACTTTCTTTGTGTTTATTTGATTCCTATTCAAGAGAATTACTTTATATATAGTCAATATAGGCACAGAGTTAAATTTTTTAACATTTTCTAATGGTGGTGTGCCTCGTGATTTTTTTCATGAAACAAGTGTGCCTTTGCCCAAAAAAGGTTGAAAAACACTGGTCTAAAGGGCCTGGTGTCAGAGGGCCACAGCTGAGAGTCCATTTCTTTCTGAAACTGACATACATTATTTAAACCAAACCAGAATGTATTAATTCTTTTCTAATGGTATCTAGCTGTAATTCTAATTCTTCCTGGCTCATAAGGAGCTATGATTCTGTGTATCACATGTCCACGAGTAATTGTTGTAGTTTGTACAAGGGCCAGAAAGCTGGCTTTCCACATCTGCCCCTTTTATAGACACTGTGACCCTCCCCTCCTTTCCCCTTCCCATACTATCCTCCAGGTCCCACTTAGGTAAAGTGAGGGGGGGTGAGGGAGGGGTGTTCTTGATTAAAAATTTGGTCTATATGGAGCAACAAAAATTTTCATAGAATGCAAAAATAGTATTGTAATATATTTTTTAAAATTTCAATATAAGTACAATTTACAAATATAATAAATAAATAAAAATTATGTACAGTAATTAGTATCACTTTCAAGGCCGGCACTAGACATTTTGCCGCCACTATAAATACGAGTACTGTCTGCTAAATTCAAGAAAATTTATGTATTTATAAAATAAATAAATAAATTACCTAAATTATCCGAATAGCTGATTTGTAATGACATCACTTGTTTAACTAGCTTACTAGCACACAGTAGGATGTGTATCCTCTGAGAGACAGTTACAAAATGTTTTCGTTGTTGCCAATCCCCAAAAATGCCATTGTTCATTAAGTCCAAACAATGGTGGTCGAATTCTAACAACTGATCAACAATGCGAACTTTGATAAGCAGTTCTCGATAATCAGTTCTCAACAATTATTTGTTATTATTAAAGTTTAACATTATAAAATTAACAAAAATAATATAAAACTCATATCCTGGCTAAATAGCCACATGGCTGCTAAAAACCGTATATTCCCTTCCCGTTCTCCAGCCATTCCCTAGCTTGTCCTGCATTCTTTCCAAAAATCGGGACTTTTTTTAAAAAGCCGCAGGACGAGGGACAAATTGTTAAAAATCGGGATTGTCCTGCTAAAAGCGGGACGTCTGGTCACCTAACACTTAGGACACATTGTTTTTTCCAGGGCTCAATACTTTTCTTCCCATGTCTTGCTCTGTTTTGTCTTGAACTCTTCATCTGTCTACCTTCCTCTCCCTACCTTTCTCTTTCTTTGATTCCTTTCTTTCTATCTTCACATTAGATTAGCCGACATTTATTGAGTGCTTGCTCTATGGCAGACACTGGGTGTGAGGGTACAACAATGAGTAAAAAACAGTCTGTGCTGCCTAGGAGGTCACTAGACTGTAAATACATTAAGTGCTGGAACAGCACCTGAAATTCGTGTTAGGGATAGAAATGGAATAGCTATGCTCTGTTAACTGTGATTATTTTGTTTTGATTAAAGAAAGCACATTCTAACCTGGTTCAGAGTTAGTTGTTCGTGGGACCTGGGAGATGACCTGGAAATGCAGCACATCCTCCTCATCCTGGAGCTGCCTATTATGAAAAGATTGACAGCCTTATTGTGGAAACTGGAGTCCCCAGCCCCTTTGCAAACCTCCAGCTTGCAATGCCTGTAATCTGTAACCATTATACCCTTTTTAGTCTGCATCCCCATTCATATTCCTTTTGCTTACTTCCCCATATAATCTTTGTCTTTCTACGCCATGTAAGCAGCTGGTTTATGGGAGGGGGGTGCAGAGCAGACTTTTGTGGATGACCTCCTGCTTTCCCATGCGGCCATCATTATTGGAATAAACCAATATACCATATTTTTTCTGTGTATAAGATGCTATTTTTTGGAATGGGGGGTTAAGGACAAATATGTGATACCTTAATCAATAAAGAAATTAATAAAAAATAAAAAATGCCAGTATTTCTCCACAAAAAACAACAAAAAACAACACACCCACAAATCTTATTTTACTTATTTAAAAAAACCCTTCTTAGGCTTCCTTTAACTTTCTGAATAAAGTTCAAATCCTTACATTAAAAAAAGATGCTATTTTTTCCCCTAAAATCGTTAGACTGAAAATGAAGGAGTGTCTTATACAGGGAAGCCATCAGAGGAGGGAGTAGCAGTTCATTCCTTGTCAAATAGGCTTCCTCCAATCATGAGCCTTATTGTTACTGATGTCAGCTGATGCCAAAATTGAAGGTGGAGGTGGAGAGTATGCAGATGCAACAGGGACTGGAGAGTTCTGAGCCCATAAAGATGTCAAAAAATAAAAAGATAAATACCAGTAAGCAAAATTACTTACTCTGCAAAATTCAAACTGGATGTAATCAGCTATGCAAAAGAGCATGGAAAAGAGCTGCAAAAGGACACTTTGGACCTCCTCTCACTGAGTGTATGGTCAGACAGTGGAGAAAACAGGAAGAACAACTCCTTAACATGCCAAAAAAGAAGAAGGCCTTAAGAGGAAAACCAGGAAAATGGGCAAACTTGGAGCAGAGGCTTAAGACTTGGATTATGGAGCAGCACCAGAGTGGCTTATGTATGTTAACAAAGCTTATTCAATGTCAGGCAAGAATGTTTGCAAGCAAAATGAACATTGTGATTTTACAGGAAAGGCAAAATGGTGCTTTCATTTTATGAGGAGAGAGGAGTTGGCCATGAGAACACGAACAAAGTTAGCTCAGAAAATGCCACCAGTTTATGAGGATGATCTCACATATATAGACAGTGACTCAAAAGACAGCAAGTGATACAATAGAAATTGAAGAAAATGATATGTCTGGCACTATTCGTGATAAAGAAGAGAGCAGTGATGCATCAGAGACTGAATAAAGTGATATGCTGCATAATATCATAGTACTGGTATATAAACATTGCCTGTGGTAATTACTAAATAAAAATGTGTCCTGTTTTATGTTTAAAATATTGATTTCTTAATTTTGGGTTGGAAAAGTGTGTCGGGGGTGTCTTACACACACACACACACACACACACACACACACAAAACAACAACAACAACAACAAACAAACAAATAAAAAAAACAACGTTATGTGATTTAACCCTGTCTCTTCCCATGTCTTAACTGGCTCAAGTAGGGACAAGCAGCTGGGACCCGTTGGTTGTTTGATTTCATTTGCACTTTGTCTCCATGTTTTTAATACATCTATTTATTGTGCTAAAACTACAGAACATAAAATTTACTGTCTTAACCACTTTTAAGTGTACAGTTCAGTGGTGTTAATTATATTCACATTATTGTTGTGCAACAGATTTCCAGAACTTTTTCATCCTGAAAAAATTAAACTCTATACAACCTCCTTCTCTCCCTTTCCTTCAGCCCCTGATAACCACCATTCTACTTTCTGTTTCTGTGAACTTCAGTACTTTAGATAGCTTATATAAGTTGTATAGTACTTGTCTTATTGTGATTGGCTTATTGCATTTAGCATAATGTCCTCAAGGTTCATTCATATAACATGTGTTAAGATTTCTTCCCTTTATAAGGTTCTGAATAATATGTATATACCACATTTTCTTTACCCATTCAACCGTCATAGACATTTAGTCTGCTTCTACCTCTTTGCTATTATGAATAATGTTGCTATGAACATGGAATTGCAAATATCTCTTCAAGATTCTACTAATTTTTTTTGAATATATACCCAGAGGTGTGGTTGCTAGATCATATGGTAGTTTTATTTTTAACTTTTTTAGTAATATTTATACTGTTTTCCATAGTGGTTGCAACATCCACATCCCCGCCAACACTTATTTTATGTTGTTTTTGTTTATTAATTTTTTTTGGATAGTAGTTCTAATGGGTGTGAGGTGATATCTCATTGTGGTTTTGATTTGCATTTCTCTGATGATTAATTACGTTAAGTATCTTTTCATATGTTTGTTGGCCATTTGTTGTCTCCAAGTTTTTGGTTCACATCTTTGGTATCTTTTAGCCGTTTAGTCACAATACCTACTAAATGAGAACTTAATTTCAGATGCTATGCTAACCATCTCATTTAATCCTCAGAACATCCCAGGATTTACTTTATCTCTCTATACAAAGAACTTACTCCCAATGGCAATGGCTAATATGTGACAGAGCTGATATTTGAATTCAAGTTAATGGACCCCCGCATAACTGTATTGTTAATACCCTGCACTCTTACATGCGTTGTTTTGATTCAGTATGTATGATTATGGCTCCTGTATTTAATACGGTAGCCTGGTGATAT